TGCCCATGCTCAACCTTGCCCATTCAAATTCAGCCTTCCCTTATCAGCGGGTAACACGTACAGCCCCGCGAAATTTTTTCACGGGCAAGTTATTATCTCGGGAACCTGAATTGCACAAAACGCATGATCGCACCGGCTAGTCTGGTGCGCGTTGCCATTTATTTTAAATTATTTAATAATTAGCGAATTGTTCTACAGAAGACAAAGCGGGCGACCAGAAGCTGGCTATCAGATTGTACTGTACTGGCCATATTACCAGTTGGTAAAATCGCCAGCTGCAGAATTGGACTGTGGATTTTAGCTGATTCAGATATCCCAAAGTATCATGAAATTAAATTGGGGTGTTCTTCAGAAAATCGTTCTTTTCATCGACACATATGCCCCCATGCTTTTTAGCTGAATTTCATGTCATTTTGCAATGTAACGAGCCACAACTGGTCCAATAACAAATAGTCAGTTTTACTTTCATGTTTTTTTGCCAAAACATTTTACGTGTCAAAAGATTTTTACCACATTATCCAGTTATCTATCTTACCCACTACCATTCACTATCAAATTCTCACCTTCAAGCCTCAAAACACATGGAATTCAGTCACGCTGGATTTTCTTAGGTTAGCATGGTCCACTTTTTCACAGAGTATGCTTCGGTCTAATTACGGTCGCAAAATACCACTTCATAGCTCCGACCTTCTCGTCAGCCCTGCTCGGGACGACTAATTTTGGCTGGGCTTCTGTGACCGCTATTATTATTATGGATCGTACAGTGGATCAGAGAAGCGAGAAGGCTGAAATCTTGAGGTAATGTTCCCCGCCCAACCGGGTATGAGTGGGCTCAAACCCAGCTCCGGGGTAAGCGTGGTACTCGCGTACGAGCCGGCCAAAATTTTTTTCGGGTAAGTTCATAACTCGGGGATCTGAGAAGCTAGAAGGCTGAAATTTTAAGGGGATGTTTCCTGATAGTTCTGGCGGCCAGTCTTTGTTTAGCTAGAAGCATTTGCCGAAAAAACCGATGCCGGTAGCAACAAAAACTGCAAGGAACCATGCAAAAAACGCATCTTCGCACGGGCAGCCCGTGTGTTGGCCAATTATTAAGTTCTCCGTATTACTTTCACGCTACATTCATGCGATAATCAGCTTACCTGCCATGTCCATGCGTTTGCGCCGTTACTAGGTCCTAGCGCTTTTGCAGGTGATGAGTGATATTGGTTTCTCTGCTCAATTTGACCAATACATATAGAATGAGTTCGTAACTTTTATGCATTTCTTTACCAGCCTGTTTATGCTTAGAACCCCCGTGTAATACAGCGTCGAAGCCCGTAGCTTTGTCTCCACTGAATATTAAAGGCATTTTGGGAATAGCCGATTTGGTAACACACTGTCAACCAATAGCAGTTGTCGACTGACAAGTCATCGAATCTTTGAAAGCACAGTTTTTTATGCGTTTTGGCATATATGCAAAAACACACATATTGTGACGACCCCGGTGTGTGTGTGTGTGTGTGTGTGTGTGTGTGTGTGTGTCTGAGAAAGCTGGGAATCTGGGATTTCAAGGGAATATTCCCTGTCCAAGTATAGCGTGGACAGTTAACTTCCCGAAATTTGAGGATCAGTATGTGCAAGAGGTTTCTAGCTAGCGGAATTTCGAGTGATCTTATTACAGCACGAAACACTGCAAAGACGCATGATCGCACGGGCCCGCCCATTGCGCGTCGCCAATGGCATTATTACTTGACCGCACCGGCCATTATTAGCTTACTATCGAAAACACTGGGAAAACTGTAGAAGGACTGAATCGCTTATGCATTACTGGTACGAACGAACCACTGAACTTGAATGTATTGGCAAAATTTCATAATTTCAACGCTTTGCTTAGAAAAAAAAATGCTTCATATTAAACGGTAATAATACTTTTGGCAGTGTTTTCTTGGTTTCTGTGGTACCATGCAGCATTGTTTCATTTCAGTGAGGCACTGTCAATGTTGCAACGTTTTGTACCTCGTAAAGTGAATATTCGTGGGCAGAAATTCTACCTGGAATTGGCCAGTGATATGAAACTGCCGTTAAATCTGTTCAAAAAAATACAGCCAGCCGATTTCAAACTTTCTATGGCAAAATATGCAATGAGAAGCGATACCCAGGTAACATCTTAGACCTTCAAAACTCTCTGGATTTTCAAATCTCTAAGCTTTTTGTCAGTGGGAATGAGAGAAAGAGTTGTACTGATGCGCTACAGTAAACAACCTGTTGAAAGATTTGCGAAGTTTTGAAAGCCAAAACTTTGTGCCAACAAAGGGGATCAAGCAATGGCGTACCTGCGAGCAGTAATGGCTAGCATTTTGCGTTATTTTTTTATGAAAAAACTTCTACTTTTGGGAATGAACGGAAAAAGTAACAATTACTAGAAGTTGGTGGCTTATTTGCTGATCTATGAAAAATTTGGCTGGCTCATCAGATTTAACGTTATTTGAAGAAGAACGGTGAAAATTTTGGTGGTTAGGAGGGAAAAAAGAAGCATGAGGAATTGCTTGAACAAGTTCTGTTCAGGAGAAAAATTCCGTCGGCGGAGCAGTCAGAATTGAAAAGGGTTACTTTCATGGGCTAAGCAACCAGATTTTCACGCCGATCCTTCCGGATCGGCCATCTATCGTGGATTTATCTGCAGAGAGAGGTGGAATTCGCTCTGGAAATTCACGGTGGGAGGGATAGTTGATCGAATGGGACCGTCTGATTATTCATCCCCGTGTTGCTGAGACGCTGGGGTTGGGCTCAAGAACAGGATTTCAGGAACAAAAGCCTAATTTTGAGCTAAATATCTAGACAGTAAGAGGTGCTACGTATCAGCCAAATTTTATTTCCGGCTGGAACATTTCACCTTTGAAAACCCTTCTTGTTCCGACCTTCCGTTCCTTCGCCTATTTCTGGTCAGGATTGAACAGTTATGGGTTTTTTTCAGAGTGAGAGAAAAAGCGATAAAAGAATAAAAATACGAATATTGAGCATGATATGAAAAGCAACAAGGAATACCTGGATTCCTTCTTAATCTCTGCTTTCTTTGAGCCATTTTAAACGCCCTGCAAATTCTGTTTCCGGATTTGTATGCACTTGAAAAGATTGTTGGTTCATTTGTTGCAACATGGTGCTGAGTTTTGTATAGCTATGCTTTGTTAGTTTCCAGAAATCTGTTTTTTTGACAAATTTTGGTGAAAAAACTTGTTTGTTGAAAAGAATAGTCTCAGTAGTTGCATCTCAGTAACACTGGAATCTTAAAAAACTTATAGTTTGAGCATTCCGGCTAATGTTGGTATTTGCAGTTAAAACGTGAAACAGTTTATGAAAAAGTGAAAAAAAACGACGAACCTTCGGACGAGGACGCTGCTGCTGCTGACGATACTGGTGCCAGTACATCGAGACGTGGACCAAAAATTCTCGGCAAAGATGAAGTGATTAAAGGTTGTCACTTTTCTCTTTCAATATTTATATTATCAAAGCTTTTCACTTTCATGTGGTCTATCATTAAAGCTTTTAAAAGTAGTAAACCGTTCTGACATCTTTTCCGTGTAATAGTTTTTTCGATTTTTAATTTTTGTACTTCTGTTGCCAGTTTTATATTTTTATAGCAATATTTTATATATTTTTCCAATTTTATATATTTTTCCAATTTCTTTTCTTTATTGGAAAATATTTTATATTTCTTCAATTTCTTTTTTTGCGGAGTTTTACCGGTAAGCAGAGCTGTATGTTTTGAAAAATTTTTGAGTATTTTTTGGAGTAAAATATTCTCCCAAAACTAATCCCGGAATACTTCATAGGTTTTTTACTAGGTCCATACGTGCTTCTTTCGAAGTTTCTACTTTTGTGTTTTAGGATATAAATTTGGCTCGACAATTGTACCTTTCAATGAGGAGGATCGGAAAGAATATGGATGGGTAAAGGAAAGCCGTTGCTTTAAGCTTTTGCAGTTCACCAAACGTTCACAGGTTAGTGCTAAAACAAAGTATGACAGGGTTTCAGCATGAAGATTTCTGGTTCAAGCTTCTTGGTTATCCACCAGTAAAATCTGCCAAAAAATGCGCATGCGGCTGTGGTTTTCCAAGATGATTTTCCCATCTCTCCAGTGCATTTATGGCACCAAATTTTCGGCTTTTTGCTTTTCTCGGTGTCGAGATTATTGCCCTGTAACGTGTAGTAGAGGTGCGCATCAACGAGACTAGAAAGCTTGTTCATTTCTACGTTATAAGATTTCACCTCTGTAGGTTTTTTTTTTGATTCACAGGTCAGGGCTTTAACCCAAGCTTGTAATTAAGATGAAGATCAAAGCAGAGAAAAATCATGAAACAGTTTTTTGTAGCCTTCCACATAATCAGGAAGTATGCTTCTTTGTTTCTGTATTATTATTGATTATATTTATTCGGACAAATGCGCCTGTACAGGAGATGGGACAGCCCATGGTTTTTGATTTTTTTCAGATTTTAGAGCATTATTTGATGGATGGTGGCGCATATTATTGCATTCCACCTGCCACTGACAAGGTTTTCTCATTTCCTATAGAGTGTAATAAAAATAATTGGCCAACGCACGGGCTGCCCATGCGAAGATGCGTTTTTTGCATAGCTCCCCGCAGATT